TATTATTATTATTATTACTATTATTACATTGAAAATTTAATTATATTTCAACTACGGATAATTATCTTTTTAAAATGTATTAAAGAACTTCGTGTACATTTCAGGGCCGGGGCAAATTGACTAAACTGCCGCACTCTGTGGACGCCCCTGTTCAGTGTTACCAACCTAACAAGTAAAAGGGTGAAAAGGATCGTAGAGACGGAAATGCATGAGAAAACAAAGTTATAATTAAAAACGGATGTTTATTACAGGTATAACACAGAATTCAATAAGGACCCCAGTTTCAGGATCTACGCAGTGAAAGCAGTGGTTCGCTGCCACATGAATGACGATATGTTGATGGAAACAGTACCAAGGTGTAAGAAATAAATACTACCCTACACCGTAACAGTACTAAACTATTGCGTACATCAAGACGCGCAATAAAAAAAATAGATTTCAGAGGGCGGCTGCTTCGAAATCTCCGTGTCTTTCCGTATTGGTTTTGCTGGTTTGAATATATTCTAAGGGATAATTTGCGGTTCGAACAGTGAACCTCGACGTACAAAAAGAGCACTGCATTTCTGTCGGAACAAGGTTTTATAATATAAATAAACAATAAAATATAAATATAATATTACATTGTGGCTGCTTGGGTTTTGTTTATATTTTGAAATTTGAGGACCATGTATCATACGTGTATAATAATACTCTTTCTTTCTGAGAGTTAATTCAAGTGTTATGACTCATGATTTTAGACATGAAACTGTTTAATTTCTAAGTAAATAGTGTTTAAAAGGAAAATATAATTTGAAAGATGATTTAGTGATACGGAATATTCAAAGTAACGCTCAACATTACCCCGCGCGTTTTATAATTCTGAACTAAAGTTCACCAATTTATTAATTAATTATTAGCTCAGCTTAATAATATTATTTAATCAGGCGCGGATCCACGGGGAGAGAAATGAGGGAAATTCACCCCCTAAAATTTTTCAGTAACTATTAATTTTAATTTGTCACGAAACTTTCAAGCAAGAACATTCGTATGTTCATTAAAACGAATAAAATCGTATCCCAGCATGAGCTGAGTGTAGTCTGCGACATTTTACAGAATCTGTAATATGACACATTCGACCAAAACATTTTGAATTTTCCTTCCCAAAATTTGTCTCTGGATGCGCCCCTGGCTTAATTATTACGTGGCGTCGCCGACGCTGTAAACTGTTTTAAACGTATTTTCATGTATTGAACATTTCTTTCACACATTTTTCTTTCATCCCTTTGTTAAATTATGTTTTCAAAGAATATGGCATTGAACTTTCCAATGAAGCGCAGCAGCTGTTCATGCTATGCTACGTTCAAAAGTTCCCAACATCCAATGGCCTTGAATCAGACTTAATTCAGAAAAAAAAATCTCTATTTTATATATTCTAGTAGTAGGAAGACACCGAAAAAAAATTCAAAATTTGCGAAGAATTGGGATCTTAAACCTTTACGCTATTTGAGGAGAAAGATTAATAAAAAATTAGAGCCATTTTTGAGAAAATTTTGAAAATGTTCATGTAAAGAACTATCAAAAATCTTTTTCAGACTTAGAGGGCCTAAAGTTCATTTAAATCGATCGAGGAATATCAATTTTCGAGAAAATCGGCTAAACGGTTTTGGCGCTAGCTTTGTCCACAGACGGGCGGAAACTTTGCCGTCAATCATTTTTTTTCTTTCTTAATGAAATGTGTTCATTATAAACAGATCTTGAAATGAGGTCATGTTCAATTTTTCTTAAATAAGAGTATTTTTGTTGAGTATTTTAATGTTGCGTGAATTATTGGCAATTTTTACATTTTAAACAATTATTTTCTCAGAAACCGTTCCAATTATTTTCTTAATATTTTTCACGGTCTCCCATAGGAAGATAAGAAATGTGTGTACCAGCACTACTGGTTCTCAAACTCGAGACACAGGCACACACAGGCTCGAACGAATACTCAACCAAAATTTCGCCGCATCATCAAATTTACACCCACTGACACTATCACCAATACACCATCACCAAGGATCGACCTAGTGAACAATATCAAAGACGTAGTGGTGCCCTTTAATGGCAAACTTATTTCCTTTGACGTGACTAGTTTTTTTCCTCCCTTGCATTCCGACCACGGAATACAAAAGTATTTTACGTGACCTCCTTGACAACTCCTTGAGACTTATTCCTATAAAAAAAAAAAAAAAAACTCCACAACTTGATACCCCTCTGTTCACACAAAACCACTTTAATTTTAACGATACATTCTTTACTCACACCTCTGGTTTCCTTTGGAATCTCCACTTTCCCCGTTACTAGCAGACATGTTTATGGACAATCATGAGAAACGGATTTTTAATTCCGGACACAGTCACCTAAAAATGTGATTTACTGGTATAGATACGTTAATGACATTACAGTATTTTAAACTGGTACTTACAGATAATTGTAAAATTTCTTCGGTTTTATAAATTCTATACATTCTAATATACAAATTCACCGTCAAAAAAGAAAACGTCCGAACCCTTTGCGTTCTAGACCTAATCACCATCACTTCATTGAATGACAATGACAGACATATTTTGACATATACAGGAAATCGTTTCGCACTGACATATAACACATCACAACTTCCACCCTCTCACAAGCACGCAGCATTCTACAGTATGGTTCAAATGCTATTTTCCATTCCTCTCTCCCCCCAGAACATCAGAAAATAAATTTACAGCACAAAACTTATAGCTCTCTACTGTGGTTACAATACCTAATTGATTGACAATCTAATCAAAGAGAAAACTATCTCCCCCAGCATAGAACAACTTAACTTCACTCACCCCTACACCCAAAACACGCACACCAGATAAAGCCTACCAATTCCTTCATTGAAACACCATCACGGAGCATTGTAAAAAAACCAAGACAATTTGACATTCATGTCACACTCAACACACCTAACATTTTTCAAACACACTTTCCCACAATAAAGATCCAATTCCTAAGTCTCTATTATGAGGTGTTAACTCTATTTCCTGTAGTAATTGTAATGTACAATATATTGGACAGACCGGAAGGTACTTTAAACAAAAAATTAAAGAACACACACAACACAAAACAACAGGATCACACTGCAAGCCATCTCTTTATTCAACGTAGACAGTGATTTCAAATTTTAAAAGTTGAAAACAGATACCAACACAGACTTAAATCAGTAATCATGCATATTAATAATTTATTTAACAATCCCCAGCACACTATTTTAAATTAACAAATCCCTTCCCCCTCACCCCACTTGAAGTTGGCCGTCACCCACGCACATTAACCCCTCTTCCCACCTGTTTGCCGCCACCGGGCGCCCCTTTCTCTTCTCTCTAAAAGCCCCTCTCCATTGTCAGCTGACCTTTATATAGCAAAACAATGCTATTGACCCTCATGACAGGTGGAGTATTCCTGGACGTTGCCAGAACTTTTGACAAGATTTGGCACATCCATATCCTTTACAAACTCTAAACCTTGAACTTTCCTTTGTACCTTGTGCTCCTTATCCACTCTTACTTATCAAACAGAACATTTCAAGTAACGCTTCTGAATGCTAAATCTACCCACCGCGTCGTACAGGCCGGAGTGCCGCAAGGGAGCGTGATAGCTCCTATGCACTTATTTTATATGTATGTGACATTCCTCCGCACCCACAAACGTAACTAACCTTGTACGCCTACGATTCGGCTAAAATAGCCCCGACGAAAAAGAACAAGCTTCTCCAGAAATACTTGGATCAACATTTATTACAGATCCGGCAGCGGCTGAAGCTGTAGCGAGTCAAAGTCAATGTAAGAGTGCAGCTGTACTCTTCACAAGGAGGTAGCGATTCTCACAGCCGAAGCCGCTCCCGCTATGCAGAACGAGATTAAATGGGACAAAAATGTAAAGTATCTAGGTGTTACACTAGATAGCCCACTTAATGTTAATTTGCAGAAAAAGAGCGCGTTCGGCTCGCAACAGACTACACCAAGGAATGTGTTTCCAGAAATGTGCGACGAGAAATGAGGAGAGAGGCCGATGAGGCTGCATCCACACACTAGAAATGTGTCATTCGATGAATCGAAATGCCTTTATGTGCTACAAGCCGAGAATGGTAACAGCAGATAGCTATGAGATCAGCTGCGAGTCCCATTTGTTTTATTAACTGCTCTTGTGTAATTTTTACTCATGAAATCCTTGTTTTGTTACCATAATTGTAAAGCATCTACTTGAGTTCGAATTGCCTAAAGAGAAATACATTACTGCACTACATATAAATCGTTATTTTAACGTAAAAAGGAACTGTATGTGACGTGTAGGGAAGAAGTACAATATACGTCTCTATGCAAATTTTCTTGAGCTCCGATATTTCTACACTGTCTGTTTTATTGGTGGTTGAATTATGAATAAATGATGCATAATTAAATAAAATTCGCAATTAATACATCAATTCATAAATAAATGTGAATTAAGAAAAAGTAGAATATTAATTAGCTTCTTTCAAAATGCCCTTTCAAGTTTCATGCTTCAAATCTTTCTTTTTATATTACTCATTATGTACTGCTTTTTTACAAGAAATAATATTTTACACACAAGTTTTTCCTAGTTCATTTCCGTTTAAAGTAAAAATTCAAGTAAGAAATTCAAAAAACTGGCTGTTTATCACAGCTTTTACTGGTAAATATTAACTCACTCGTTTTTACGCACTGTTTAGTGTTTTCCTGCGGCAGCAAATGCCTAAATGTTGTATAACAAATGAAGGAGCAGAAATGTGTACGATAAAATCTCTATTGATGATAATCTACCCGCGAAGCGTTGTTTCTTTATGAGCGGTACAGAATTGATTTTACGGCAACAAATTAGAAATAAAATAGTTAAATTTCCGTTACTAGTATGGTTTACTTCTGCTATGATGGGCAGGCCAGTTTGATGTCCGCCCCCCGTTTTTTGTTGTTTTTTTTTGGGGGGGGGATACGAATGAGCTGTGACACATATGTTTTACGGTAATAAATTAATAATAAAATATTTCAAAATTCTGGTACTAGTTTGGTTTTATTCTGCTATGGTGGACAGGCTAGCTTGGTATCAAGCTGACCCGCCACCCGTTTTTTGGGTACAGATAAAATGTAACAAATGTTTTTTCGATAATTAATTAGTAATAAAATTGTTAAACATTCTGGCACGGGTCTGATTCACTTCTGCTGTGGTGGGAGGGCTGGCTTGGTGCACCTAGCCACGACTATCGCTGTGCACCGCTTGTCTACGCGGCAACCGATGTAGAAAGCAAAGAACTGATGTAGGCAAGTTCTCCTTTGTTAATCGCACTATAGTAGATTGGAATAAACTACCTGCAGAAGCACTAGAGGCTCTTCATTCTAATGTAGCCAAATTTAAAAATATGCTTCATTCCATCTAGATCATCTAGAATAATACTGACTGAGACATATATCTTTATTGTTATTTTTCTTATTATTACTTTTATTATTATTAATATTATTATTACTTTTATTATTATTATTACTTTTATTATTATTAATATTATTACTTTTATTATTATTAATATAACTATTACGTTTATTATTGTTATAATTATTATCGTCATGTCCCTTATACAGTGAAGTGAAGTGAAGTGAAGTGCAGTGTAGTGTAGTGTAGTGTAGTGAAGTGTTATGTAAACTAGAAGTGAATCTAGAGTTAGCTAGAAATAAATTGAAACTATGATATAGACCCTTAATTCTCATAGTAAACCTAATAGTAAATGTTGAAAATGTTTAGTAATTCTAATTCTAATTGTTATCATGTTTGCCACCGAGCATTAGCTCAAAGCGAACTTTAATAAATCTATCTATCTATCTATCTATCTATCTATCTATCTATCTATCTATCTATCTATCTATCTATCTATCTATCTAACCAATAATTACGTACTTCAATAGTCAGGAACAATACTCCTTTCTTACTTCTACCAATGATACAACCATGAATAAATCTCGAATCTTACAAATTTGCAACACAATATACAGAAAAGTAAGTATAATTTCACATACTCGTATATGTTAATCATACGGAACTGAAGGCCTTCCAAAATATCACTTTATAAATGCATAGTATGTCGTAACAGTGGCATTATTTACGAAATGTCCATTTTAAGCATGTATGTCTTGCATTATATGTTTTTTTTTATTATCTAATGTATAAAAACTATTTCGTGTTCATTGGATTGCGATAAAATTTGTCAACTTATTGCTTATACGTCCGGAGAGAATATGGGCATTTACGATGGGAATGTGCATGTGCCTACGCATATAGACGCGCGTTGATTTTGTATGTACATTCAAGAGCCCTGATGAGGGCGCTTTACGACACGGCGCTCTCTACGCAGCCCGCCGCACACTGAAGTACGATTGATTATCAAGTCGTCTTCATTGCGTATTCTGCCCCTGGAATTGAAAAATTTCTCCCGGTAGAGGAGAGAGAGAGAGAGAGAAGAGAAGAGAGAGAGGAGAGAGAAGAGAGAGAGGAGAGAAGAGAGAGAAGAGAAGAGAGAGAGAAGAGAGAGAGGAGAGAAGAGAGAGAGGAGAGAAGAGAGAGAAGAGAGAGAAGAGAGGAGAGAAGAGAGAGAGGAGAGAAGAGAGAGGAGAGAAGAGAGAGAAGAGAGAGAAGAGAGAGAAGAGAGGAGAGAAGAGAGAGAGGAGAGAAGAGAGAGAGGAGAGAGAAAGAGAGAGGAGAGAAGAGAGAGAGGAGAGAAGAGAGAGGAGAGAAGAGAGAGAGGAGAGAAGAG